GATTATATTATTAAACGGTTCTTTACAATTTAATTTATATTACACAAAATAAAATTTAAAAAAATAATATCACGACATACACTTTAAATTATTTTCGAAAATGTTCAAAAAATCCGCCATTGTTTTGAGCACATAAATGCATATTTTTGAAACTGAATTACTAGATATTCTCACAGAACGACCGGTCGACAGTAAACTTTTTCCGTACCGTCTCTTCGACTGACTCTCTTAATTCATAAGTTCTTTTTTAAACCTTGTTATTAACCATACCGCATAAAAAATCTAAAATGGATAGGTCAGGTGATTGAGACGCCCATACAATTGGTCCATCACTTCCTATCCCTGAGTTTGCATAATTATGATATAAATCGGTCCCAAAGGGTTTCCCAAATTCCCAAAAAAACGTTTCTCAATCTAGAGAGCCTTGTAGTATATGCGATAATTGATAAAATTTATTTTAGGTGAATTGGTTTAACGAAATTTCACGAAATTGATCGAAACGCGCCGTGATTGGTTGGTTATTTTTTATTTTTAATCTGGCGGGTTAACAATTAAAAACAAAAAGCCAAATAATGGTGGAATATATATCATTCAATATTAAATAAATATCATCGTAACCACAGCTATTTTAGAAACGTCTATATTTACTTATTTCACTGAGATTTATCAAAAAAATCCTTTGCCTCGGGTACAGATACCGCCACGTTTTGGAAATAGCTCAAAACGACGCTTTTAAGAATCGAAAGTGGGCCGAGACAAACCGAAATGGGTCAAGTCAACTGGAAATAAATCGAAATGCGACAAACTTGGGCGAGGAAATGCTACCTTGACCTGTAGAGGCTGTTTAACACTTTTAGAATAATTATATAATAAATTTTTCGTAATCTCGTTATCTAAAACCCGTGTATTTGTATTTACCGGTTGTTTACGATATTCTCCGATGGCAATGTCTAATGCACTAAATAAATATAAATAATAATAATAAAAATAATATACTCATAAACGAGAAACCCTGTAAAACACACGCAACTGGGACACCCTGTACTTTTACATGTTAATAAGATAATTAATCTAGATCTTTAGATTCTTCTACATCGAAGAGTCATCAAAAGCAGCATTGTTTCAAAGAACTTTCACTGTACCACGGTACTTTTATTTTTCTACCCAAGTGGCAAGGAAGATTTAACATTTCACTAGCTACGACGTACAAAAGAGAGACAACACCCCAATTATATTTCTTTTCCATATCCAATTGAAAAAGAAAACGTGATTTCTACTTGAAAAAATACCAGGTAGTATTCGTTATTCAAAATTACAGTACTTCAACTCTATATACATTTTTGGTTGGTTGATTTTTTAACTGTACCTCCATATACGCCGCTTATTTTTGCCAAGTGAATTAGTTAATAACCGGCAATAGTATTAATTGATGCTCCTGTAGAGCATAAGAGTGGTCGCATGGGCAAGCAAGTGCTACCTTGTTGTAGAGATGGGCCTACAAAACAGAACTTCGATATACTACAGGGTTAGGCAATAGTGCGTCGGGCATCTGTAGCTCCTAGAAAAAACTTGAGAACTTTGAAAGTATGTATTACAGTACGTTTGTCCGTTCTGCAGTTACGGGGTATCCGTGAGAGGGGAAACGATATTCTCTCGATGTTTTTCGTAAAAAAATAGACGACGCGTCCCATCAAAAATGTATACAGGGTGTTTCGAAAAATCTGGCCATTGATTAATCACGATCCTGCTTAAAGCGCTTGACGTAAAAAGTTGATTTTTGGAAAACAGATTGACTTTAGAGTGTAGAGGTTCGATAAGAAGGGATTTTTCGAAACTCGAATTCTAAGGGGGTGAAACTCTCCCTCAAATATTAAAATATTTTTTATTTAAAAACCGGTGAGTTTTTCGGAAAAACTCTTAAACACGTATATTTTATTTTGTTGTTTTACATATTTTAAGATTTTTATAAATTTATACAGGGTGTTTCATAAAATATGACCATTGACTAATCACGATTCTGCTTAAACTGCTTGACGTTTAAAGCTGATTTTTGGCAAACGGATTGACTGTAGGGTGTAGAGGTTCGATAAGGAGGGGTTTCTCGAATCTCAAATTCCAAGAGGGTGAAAACGCCCCTCAAATATTACAATATTTATTATATAAAAAACGGTTAGTCTTTCGGGAAAACGCTTGGACAAGCATAATTTATTTTGTTTTTTTACATATTTTGAAATTTTTTAAAAAATCATTCAGGGTGTTCCAAAAAGTTGGGTAATTTCTTAACCACGATTCTGCTTAAACTGCTTGACGTAAAAAGCTTATTTTTGGCAAACGGATTTTTCGAAAGCCACATTCCAACGAGACGAAACTACACCTCAAATATTACCAAGTTATAAAATAATATCGCCATATTGTTTTTTCCCATGCTGACATAAATGTGAGAAAATCTTATCCGGTTTGTATGTTAATGGCAATTCTTGCTTTGCTTTATCATCACCATTACAAATGATTAATTCGACGCGAACGAAGTCGCTGGTACACGCTAGTTCTAAAATAAAATATTAATCTACGGCATAGTATATTCTTAATATTTTGACCAAAAAGAATATCACTATGATATTAAATATCACTTACCTTTACAAAGAAATAATTTTCAATCTATCGATATTTTAAAGATTTCGATGCAACTGAACATTCCTAATATCTAGTTTATAAATTACCATCGGGTGATAAACAGTATTTAATAACGACTGTAACTGAAAAATTTTAATTATCGATATTTTTGGAAGAAAGAAAATATCGATTCGACTGACCCATCTCAACCACTGAAAAACTTATCTATGCGTTATCTAAAAAGTTATTTATGCGCTTTACCACACCGATTAGAGTAAATGAAGAATAATTATGAACCGTTGATAACCATTAAAAAATAATCTGTAAATGAAAAATTTTGAATTATCCATATTAGGGCAAGAGAAAAAAAAATATCGATACACCTTACCCATCCCTACCACTCAGATTAGAGTAAGTAAAAAATTCTAAACTGTTGATGACTATAATCATTTGTAAATAAAAAATTGAAACTTCGATATTTTTAGAAGAAAAAAAAATATCGATACTTTTACCCATCCATATCACTCCGATTAGAGTAAATAAAAAATCATAAACTGTTGATGACTATAATCACCTGTAACTAAAAAACTGAAACTATCGATATTTTGAGAAAAAGAAAAATATCGATACTTCTACCCATCCCTACCGCTGCGTTTATAAAACGGTCATAAAGCACCTTCGCGTGTCCAGCGCTCGCTTATCACCCTAATAGCATCATCCGAAGATGATCGAAGGGGCGCGTTTGCCAATTTTTCCCCGCTAATTGACGGTGTAACATAAGAAATATAACATTCCTAGTCGTATCTCTCGCTATTTATGTAAATGCGTTTTTGCTCGGTTTTGACGTTCCCGGTATTTATTTCGTCACGAACTCGGTCTAGGGTTCCGCTGCTCTTGTACCTGTAAAGTCGAGACCAATAAAAAACATTAAAACGTCACTTATATAATCGGTGTTAAATTGGATACGTCAGTCGCCTACGTGGACTGCTCGCTCGGTTAATATCGGTGAATAATTGGGCAGTTGACTAATATGATATCGAATTGGTGAATTAATGTTGTTCCTAATCAGATATCGATACTTGAAATTTTTATTTCTGTATATCTCGGATAACTGTTGAAAGAAGCACTTAGCGTTTTAAGATTCATAGAAGCAAATTTTGAGAGCCACTGGATTTTTTCTGTATCTGCATCCCTTTTAATGTCGTTTAGGTTAGGTAGAAATTATAACGTAGAAAAATTTGCGGTGAATAGGCCGTTCTATTTTTTTTAAGATATAAAGGATAATTTAAAAGAAAATGCACGATTTTCAACATCCCTTTTTGCCAAAAAAGTCCCGTTCCTGGGGTCGAAATACCGGGTGCATCTCATAAGTGGCTCACCTCTATATATTTTTTTATTTTTGCCAGATAAAAAACGAGATTTGATATGTTAGTTTGTTACAGTTAATGTCGATATTAACAGGTTAAGGTTTGGGTTTGGTTTTGTTTTGTGTTATTCTCGAGAGATTAACCGGGTAATGTCAATATTAACCGAACATCGGACCTTAACCTGTTTCACCGGAAATGACTACAACTTTTGATTTTTAAATGGCACTTCCGGTATATTTTTACTTTATTCGATAGAAAATAAAACTCTGAATAGAATGACATATGATATGTCAACTTTTAACATTTTGGCTTAAAAAAATATTGTATTTTAAATTTCAATCTAGAGTTCTCTTTTTTAATCAAGGAGCCTTGAAAACATAGATTTGATCGTATAATGTTTTTCATGTCTTGTCCTGGCCGGTTGAAATATGCCCAAATCTCAAGTTTTTCCAATGGAACAAGGGTTTGGCATTGGACTCATTAGCATATTTGGAAAAAGCATTTTTTTACGAGTAATTTGATACCACACACTTGGTATTTCGAGTCAAATTGTCGTTATGAACAGCATGTTACAATTTCAAATAAACCATATGCAAAAATGTCAAAAGTTGACATATAATAATTGATTATATAGGGTTCCGCTGCTCTTGTACCTGTAAAGTCGAGACCAATAAAAAACATTAAAACGTCACTTATATAATCGGTGTTAAATTGGATACGTCAGTCGCCTACGTGGACTGCTCGCTCGGTTAATATCGGTGAATAATTGGGCAGTTGACTAATATAACATCGATATCGAATTGGTGAATTAATGTTTTTCCTAATCAGATATCGACACTTGAAATCTTTATTTCTGTATATCTCGGATAACTGTTGAAAGAAGCACTGAGCGTGCACCCGGTATACCACCCATAAAAATATTTGCACTTATTTAAGACTCCCCCTGTATAGTGAATACTTTATTTTAAGTAATATTTTTTTATTTTGTTTCAGGTTACTTAGCGGACAAAAATAAATTAATAACGCTAAAATGTGAGCCCCTAACTATCACGAAATAAATAAAACAATTATTTCTTATTAGTGTTGCTAGTGTTCAAAATGCCGCACACTATATTGCGCGGTTTGGTCCATAACGGACATGCGCAGTATAACGGTAATGGACATCTGTCAGGCAATGGACATCTCGTGGGCAATGGGCATTTGACAAGCAATGGACATCTCGTAGGCAATGGGCATTTAACGGGCAACGGACACTGCATGAACGGACATGCAGGGATGTACCAGCAAAACGGGCACGCTAACAAATGCAACGGACATACTGGTAAGTAAAACGAATATTGTGTATTAGTTAATAGTAGTCTTAGAATCGTAAGACGGCGTCGTAAGAAGTCTTAGAATAAGAAGACTAAGGAAGGAGCATAATGCTATCCATGTATTCATGCATGGTGGGAGGAAAAAGGATTCTAGGGTGGGGATAAAAGACAGTTCTGTTTGACGATTCATTTGACACATTTGAATTTGATTTGAAATTTTGTGGATTTGTCAGTCTTTACCGAGCTTATTTTATGTTATTTATTATTTATTCTACTACTGATAGTTGTATAAATGTAGTAAATCTAGATGGAAATTGTGGCAGAACTTAAATTAACAGTGACACTATCGCAATTTATCGAAAAAGACTCAAAAATAGTTGGTTGTGTAGCGTGCGGTAGATCTCGGCAAAAATCGAATGAAATAATGGAACAACTTTTCGTTAGTAAGTCACTATATAATATACATACGTGTAGTAAACCGATCATTTATGTAATTCACTTAAATTAACTAATTATATATTTTTTCTTGCATTTTTGCTTTTATTTACTACTTGTCAAAAAATTTAGATACGTCAATTCGACTTACCTGCTTCAGTAGCGTATCGGATGTTTGTGTTAATAAATAATTATTAAAACTTATCTTTTTTTATTATAATAAAATGTTTTTATAACAATTTAAATAACTACCAACATTTATTCACAACGTGAAATAAAAAAAATTATTGAGTCTACCCCACGTCTACCCTACATCATAGTTTTATATTTTTTAAATAAAATTAGAACGGCACTGATAAACCGGAATTTAAGTCGGCCATATTTGAGTCCCATAGCGGTGTACCTAAGATTTTTGATATGCTCCTTCCTTAGTCTTCTTATTCAAAGTGTTTTTCTAGCAAATTTCGAAGTATAATTACTGGAAAAGTTAAAAGTTTGATAACTTTTTCTACTAATTGAAAATGTCTACCACTAATTTTGACGTTTGGAAGGCTCACATTGAAATTAAAGAAGCAAACTTCTACGCTAATTGTAACCACTAATTGCGAGGTTCTGAATGAAGCTTAAGAGCTCAAAAAATATTATGTTTTGATAATAATATCTTTATTTTTCTTCAGAATATAATACCTACAACAATTAAATGAGAAATCAAACTAATACTACTAATATCGAAGACAGAAACTACGAAAATACTTTTTAACCCTTTAATTGTTCGTATAATTTGGGAACGTAGTCGTCCCATTCAGCCTGGAAGAAATTCCCAGCAATTGGCTCTTCCAGATTGTATTTCTTGGCCAGTTTCTTTATGGAGAACTTGGGCCTCGATTCGCTGGAAGTGTTGGAGGTCTTGGGTTCGGAAAATTTCACTTTCCCGTTTTGTTTGTACACCAGAATGACGTAGCGATGCAAGCCACTGCCTTTTGGTGGTCCGGCACCAACGTAACCGGTCAAAACTTCGCCTAATTCAATAAAATGATATTTAGTGTGGGGCTAAGCAGTACAAATGACTATTTTTCTTGCAAATATGTGTAATATATCGTCGAATTACCGTTAACAGTTATATCAACCAAAGACATCTAAATGGGTAGATAGAACACTTAAAACATTGATGTATTTTATTATATCGATGTTCATTTCCTAGCCACTGGGCGCCGTTTTTTTAGACGGTACTTAGGACTAAATAAGATGGAATATATTTTACAAAAAAGGTTGTAGTGAAAATCTCAAATAGATGTAGCGAAAAAATCAGTTGTTTTACCTTTGGATACGTCACTTCCGGGTATATTTCCTACCAGCCAATGTCTCCATTCTCTAAACTTGGGATTAGAACGACTTGGTGCATCTGGATCGGTCATGCAAAGCGTGTAAAATGCTTCGGGTTCGGCTGACCAAGTCACTGTAGGAGCATCTTTAACTGAAACAACAATTACAGCATTGCTAAAAGTTGCTGAAGGCTGGTATTGAACTTATCAACAAAAGCAGGCATAAGAAACATGTTGATTTAACCTTTATGTAAATAAATAAATAAATTTTACAATTTATAGACAAAGGTAAACTAAACAAACAAAAGAGAATATAAAACATTATACAAATAACGTTTTATTGTTCAAAATAGGCATTTATAAACGTTTACTATGTCAAAAAATAAAAATAATATTCAAAAATATTGAGTTAGTTTATAGTGAATATCAATGACCTCCAAATAAATTTATTTTGATGTTATTGGTAAATATAGCAATAGCAAACATTAGACCAGTGTTTACAAGATCAAATTCGATTATCAAAATATAAGTCATTTACGGCGTAGAAAGCCTTGTCTAGTAAATAAGATTTCAATACTTTACGAAATGAAGAAAATGATGTTATGGATTTGATTTCAAATGACAGGTGATTGTGAATTTTTTTCGAATTGTATAATATTGAACTTTTAACTAACTCTGAGCGTGGGGTAGGTAGATAAAGATCTTGCTCCGCGTTCCTGAGTGGATAAGTGTGAGATGGCCTTTCTTGAGAAGCTGATACATGCTTACGTATTAGGCAAACGGATTCAAATATAAATAAGGAAGAGTTAATATTTTTAATTTTTTAAAAAAGTCCCAATGAATATCGAACAGTTCTCTTCTGGAAATGAAAATCTGCTTGAAAATGCGGTCAAATTGAGTCGCACAACACGTACCTCAGAATGGAAGGGCATACCTAAGGTGCGACTCAAAAAGTACATAATAAACAGTTCTAGCCACTGACAAGTTAAGCTCCTTAGAAACAGATCTTAATGCAGAACAGGCAGAGCTTAATTTTTCGACAAAGCCTCGATATGCATGTCCCATTTCAGAGAATTGTCTACAACAAGCCCTAAGAATTTTACAGATTTTACGACGTCAATGGTGGTGTTGTTAAGTACAAAAGGCTGCAGCGAGTTTTTACACGACAAAGCTTTAGTTTTAGAAATGTTGAGACTCAGGAGGTTCGAATCGCACCAAGATTTGATGGTGATTAAGTCATTTGATATAATCCTATGAATATGTATTTAAAATTTATAAATATTTCCAACCTTTTTTATTCACTGTCAACTGACATCGAATCACTGTCACAATCACTGATAAATATTAAGTCATTATTTCTAGATACTGTTTTGTTGATTTTGTTCTTTAAGGCATATCAAATTCTTGGTTCCTTTTAAACATTCCAAGCGTGAAATCCAAAGTACCACGTTAAATAATGGTCCGTTTTGTCTCTAGGTTATAAATAGGATTTGTAGATATATAAAAAGTTGTTTCAAGCTGACAGGAAGTTCTGATGTTTACAAAATTGATCTTTTGTACAATTATGGTACAATTTTGTTGTTATATCATTTAATTAAATATATGTTTGTGCTTGATGAGCATAACAATTTTGTAGAAGTACTAATAGTAGATAGGGTAAGTGGTTTTAGTGATTTAAAATTAAAATAATGATTAAATAATAAGCTTTTAAAACCTATTTCTTTTTAAATAACAAACAATTTCCATAAAATTATTGCCTGTCTGTGTATAACAGTTTAAAATTTACTATTTTTTATATTTTATAAATTATATTGAAAACTCTAAATTCAAACAGTAAGGTTCCAACCCTCAACTGTAATGCACTTAAAAACTTGATAAAATTCATATTTTCTGCAGGTTACAAACCAAAAATGGCTTTTGCAATAGAGAGGCCTGTTATCTAAAAGCTACACAAGTTTTCTAAAATCTTCTGTTTTAACTGACTTATATTTTTGTTTAGTGCGTAGATATATTTTTTCATTAAAAATATTCATTAATAAATTCTTGTCAGAAATAAACATAAAAATTATTGTAAAAAAATGAAGATATATTATTATTTATTCAGCTTGACGCGAATTTTTCAAAAGCTCAGTCTTTATGTAATCATTGCGTAACAATATGACTGAAAATGTGTAATAAGCAATATCATTGCGAATCGAGTTGTGAATTTGAAGTAAATAAATATTGTCTACGCACTTTTTTAAACTAAAAAAAATATAAGTTAGTTAAAACGATTTAAAAAAAGAGTTTTTAATTTTTTTCATATTGTTCCACCACTTCAAAAAATTCTAAAAAAATCCTGAGTGTAAAGAAGTATAAAAGACATTTTCTGACGAATTTTAGTGAGTGACATATTTCAGAAATGTTAAAAAAATGAGATTTTAATTTTGTTTCCTCAGCTAAAAATCGACTTTTCGTTTAACAATCATGATCATATTCAATCAGATTTCATGTCTTAGAGTTCTAAGAATTAGAAAAATCATTAATTCATTTTTAATTTTACTATAAAAATAAAGATAAAATTGATAAAACGGGTTTTTTTGAAAATCTCGAAAACCGTTTGAGTTAAAGAGCTAAAAATTAAGGTGAATTATTTTGATTCGATACCAAATCGATCTTTGTGTGTAATAGCATCTTTAGTTTCATAAAAAAATAGGACAGCGATGTAAAAACCTCGTTTTTGTATCTCTATAAACGAGAAGTGCCATAAAACACACGAAAATAGGACACTCTGTACATAATGAATATTATTATGTTGAATATTAAAGAAAATCGCGCGTACTTGTTATGAAAATCAAACCAAAATAAACAAATCACAAATCCTGACCTACCTTGAGTCGGCGTCAAAACATTTCCCATTTCAGCTTTTACACCGCTTGGAAAACTCACCTTAGCGGTATCACCAGGCACTTTATCGATCACGTCGGGCACTACTTGCTGTTTTTCCATGTTTTCCAGCGAATTTTCAGCGAAAATTGAGCCAAAAAACGTTAAGAAAACGCACAAGAAAACGTCTAAAAATATCTGACGTTTACGCATTGTTGTTGTGACAGTTCCAGCGAATCCTGCGCGATTGGCGAGAGAAATGAAGCCGGGTACACATTTAGTGCAGCTGTGGTGTTTTTAGCGGGAATACAATACGCCGCGCCGATGACCTCGTAATTGTTTTTTTTTAGGATTAAAATAACAGATTTTACGGTAATTGAGCAGGATTTTGTTTCTAGAGGAGAGATGCATTGTTTTATTGCATCAAAAAGTATATTTTAATTATTATACCGAGTGTTTTTCAAAAGTGGTCCACCCCTATATATGATTTGGGCGTTTTTTAGCCGCCCAGGAAAAGTCACGATCAAATCTATTTTTCCAAGGCTTCTTGATTAAAAATTAGTGGTTTCAGCCATGACACTCTAGATTGAAACTTAAAATATATTTTTTTAAGCGAAGATGTCAAAAGTTGACATATACGTTATGACATTCTACTCAGAATGTCATTTCTAATTAAAAAAAGTAAAAATATACTGAGTGATCTTTTAAAAATCAAAAGTTGTAGTAATTTCCGGTGAAACAAGAAATTACCGAAACTAATGGAATACAACAATCGATCCTGATTTATATCATATACATATGTATATGATATAAATCAGGATAGTAGTAAAGTTTTATTTTATAAAAGTAGCAAATTTTATTTTATAAAGGCTGTATAAACAGCTATATGATCATTTTTATAGGATACCTCAATTCGTATAACGTGCTATAAGACCGTAATATGATAGCTTTACAACCAAAAAAGGCCCATTTTTATACAACAGTTTAGTAGTATAGAAGTTCTATAAAAAGGGTATACAACTCTTATGCAACTATTTTACACAGCGTTATATAACTATTATAAAACTAGTTTTATTGTGTATTACGTGGTCACATCTAAGAGACAGAACAATAAAAGCATTTGATCATTTAGCGAGGTAAAAGAGTATTTTATTTTGTACCGAAGAATATTAGGAGCAAATTATATTTTAAGCGTGTCGTAAAATGAATCTAGAGGATGTGGATTGTTAAAAAGGAGACTTTACTCGACGGTGAAAATGGCGGCTAGAGCCAAAAGGTACAACAATTATGTAATATAAAAAATCATTGATAGGGTTTGAAAAGTAGGGACAATTTTTGTTGCGCCGAAAATTTTACTGGTAGATTATAGGTATGTATTTGGCAAAAAATTAAAGCGCTTTAATTTCGATTAAGGTTTACGTATAAATTTAAACAATAAAATAAAATAAAATTTTCAAAAATTCTTGTTTTTAATTTAATTAAACAGTTTATTACTGTTATGTGGGAATCTTATCACAAAATAGTTCTCAAAAATAACATGTTACAATTTATTTTGATGTTTTTAATTTTGCTTCATATAATGGCGGCCATAGGCCATACAAAAATTCTGCCTTAAACATGGCGAATTATAATGCAACCATTTTATTATAAATGAATCCCTTAAATAAGTCTTTATTGTAAAATAAAACGGTATAGGATAAATATCTATCATTACGCAGAATTTCCAGGCACTATAGAACTATTTTTGACATATTGAGATTTGTGACAAATAGATGTTGCCAAATTTCACTTGATTAGTAGGTATTTAAACTAACAAACATGATCAGATTTTCATGGATTCATGCACGCAATACATTTCATGCATGACCGACGAGTGAGCGGCAACCTAAAGACTTGGAAAAACAACAATAAAACAATACAAACATTATTACAGTAAAACTTTTACACCAACGTGGCAACAATGCTTTGAAGAAGCCAGACAACCCGAGAAGATTTTGAATTTTTTGGCCCAGGGAATTCTCGGGATTATTTGCCGTAATTTCGAGGAGTTTTTTCTTACATGCTCTTTTATAACTACCACTGCGTTTGTTAACTTTTTTCCAACTTTGTCCAGAATTCATAAGAGCTGTGATTGATTATGCTCGTACGTAGATATTACTTTTGCAACAACAACAATAACAAAATAAATAACTAGGTATACCATTTAATTTAAAATGAGGTTATATTATACATTACCAGTTTTATAATGCAGATATTACAGCGAATTTATTTTGTTAATCACAATTTTATCATATAAGGCTATATAACTAGTGTTGTATACAGCACCGTAGTTTAACGCAATAAAATATTCATCATACAGTATCATACAACGTAATACAACTTTAATAAGACAAGTTTAAGTAACTATTATATGATCTTGTGACTACTAGTTATATGAATATTATAGAACTCTTACATGGTGGGTATAAGAGTCTAATAAAATAATATGTTTGTTATCATATAGCATTGTCTTATTAAGTGTTATATCATACTAAAAGAAATTATCGTTTAATGCGTTATCGGATACGTTGTAAAAACCACTAGAAAATAGTTTAATATGACAACTTTTATTAAAAAACAGAATGGTCGAAACCAAACGCTTAATAAAATCAAGCAGTCCTTAAGACAACGCTATTCGACTGTTATAAAATAATTCAATCCTTTTAGAATTTCATTTTGCTACTTGGGATACATACCAAATATTGTTTTTTTTAACTGAAAAAATAAAAAGGTTATAGGGGTGAGCCACTTTTAGAAAAAAAACAGTATATGTATAACCTCAGCTATTTAATTAAAATGATCATTTATGACGAATAAAAGATCATTTTAATCATTCAATTATTGATTCCTTTTGTAGCCGGATATACGATAAGCTAACAATCTTCTTATTCTAATTATAGAAGAGTACTTAATACTTCTAATCGCTCTTTTCTTCTGCCTAGAGTTATTAATTAAATAAAAATGAAGAATCTGTGAGCGTTTGTATGAAGAAGCGTTCCCATGATGACGAGTCTAGAACGAAAGTAAGATCGAGGAAAAGTTTTAATAAAAACGACCTTTTATTGTTATTGTAATTAATTGAAAATTGTTCGCAGAGAATAGACTTATTAATTTTGTTATAGAGAAGGTTCTTTTTTATTATTAATTAGCAAATAATAGTTATTTTTTATACAAGGCGATAAAATGGTATTTTATCGTCGACCGAAAAGATTAAAAGTGCCAAATATTCAATTAGGTACTCGAATATTTAAGGGTACCGAATTAACTAATATTATTATAAACAATTTAGCAGTCATGAACGGGCGAGTTTTTATCCACTGGGAAATCAAAAGATTGTAGTTCATTAAGGAACATTCAGATAAAAACGAAGAAACAATAAAGAATGGAGTGTAAAAATTCTTGGCTTTATAGTCTTTAAGTAGAGTGGGAATTTTTACCGTCGAGATAAAAAATAATTACTAGGTACTTGACGTGGAGTTGTTACACATAAACATGTACTTAAAGTGTAATAAAATTATACCAACTCCTTCTTGATGTTTCCTCATAATGCAAGGAAGAAGCAGGAAAGTTAGTATAAAATGTTTGACGTTAACATTTTTAGTAATGTAGAACCCTTGAAATTACAATAAAAATCCATCCTTAAGAGTCTATTTCACTAGCCCGAAAAAGTAGCAAAATAAGCGTTCGGCATTTAACGTTTTATGTAAAACTGGCTACGTATTTTTACACAAATGAAGAAGGAAATTAAAGATAAAGGATTATACTATATCCGTATTGTAGCACATTTTTAGACAACGTCTTTATTTTTAAGATTTTGATTTTCAAACATCAACAAAATATTCTTTATGTTTGGACTAAATTTTCTCGAAAATAAAGACATAATTTAAAATTCCGTTACAATACGGAAATAGAATGAAGTTTTGTGATTAGAGTGATATATAATTTATATGGTTTTGTAACAAATTGCTCGCCATTTTATGCCAAATCTTAATCAAGCCTTAATCAAAGCACGTGTGTTTGAAATTTTGGGTCTGACTTAACACGACAGGATCGGGCTAAGCCCTAGGCAGGTTTCTGAAATATAATATATATTTCCTTCGGCCACGCACCCGTTTTACCCGACCCCTGAGAGCGACCCGAAAGTACAGCGTAATAGACTCTATATGTCACATACCGATAATAAATTTACCAAAGAACAGCCATAGATAAAAAACTTATAATAGAACAGTTTATTCAACCTAAAAGTGAATCCAAATTTTCCCTTTCAAGATGTCATGCAAAATTAAAAAAATTGTTTAGGCTATGGGCGTACAAGTAACAGTACTTATGCTGGAAGTACACACTCGCCGAGGTGACCCGAGGCGCCACAATGAAGGCCAGTTTTAACCAATAACAATGTACATACTGTTAATTTTTTGTCGCGCCTCGGGTCGCCTCAACGAGTGTGTAGGCCGAGGCGACCCGAGGCGCGACAATGAAGGACAGTTCTAACCAATAACAATGTACATATTGTTAATTTTTTGTCGCGCCTCGGGTCGCCTCAACCAGTGTGTTGGTCGAGGCGACCCGAGGCGCGACAATGAAGAACAGTTCTAACCAATAACAATGTACATACTGTTAATTTTTTGTCGCGCCTCGGGTCGCCTCAACGAATATGTAGGCCGAGGCGACCCGAGGCGCGACAATGAAGAACAGTTCTAACCAATAACAATGTACATACTGTTAATGTTTTGTCGCGCCTCGGGTCGCCTCAACGAGTGTGTAGGCCGAGGCGACCCGAGGCGCGACAATGCAGGACAGTTCTAACCAATAACATGTACATACTGTTAATGTTTTGTCGCGCCTCGGGTCGCCTCAACGAGTGTGTAGGCCGAGGCGACCCGAGGCGCGAGAATGAAGGACAGTTCTAACCAATAACAATGTACATACTGTTAATTTTTTGTCGCGCCTCGGGTCGCTTCAACGGGTGTGTACTTCCAGCATCAGCAAGATACAGTAATAGACACAGAAAAATGCAATGACTAAAGAAACCCGAGGGCAAATTGCGACGATGTTACCAAACAGTGCCGTGGCACAAATTTTTCTTAACCTAGCTATTTGAAGAGATATTTATATTTTTTGATAAATGTTTTGACTACGCCTATGGTGTATACGGTGATATCATACTAATTAATTACAAAAAAAAAACGTATTGAAATGATAACAAAAGGTACAACACTATTAT